AAGGCGAGGAGCTGGGGGGGCAGGAGCACAGCGTGCGTGTCCGCAAGGGTGAGGAGCGGCCAGGCAGCAACCAGGAGCGCAGGGAAACGCAAGAGAAATATTTTAATTTAATTTTGTGTTATGTTCAGCTCAAAATAAACCAAGTAAATTGTTTCTTTCCTTTAATTACCTATTTCTCCTGGTGAATCACGCTGGCTTGTCAGCACCAGGGCACAGTCTGCAGTAGCAGGCCATCCTACAAATAATTACAGAACTTAACAGCATACTTCCTACTGGATTAGCCCAAGGGAGCATCTCTGGAACGGGTGTGATGGGGGGTCGGGGCAGGCGGAGGGAGCGGGTGTTCTGGCAGCAGCGTTCTGATGCAATAGCACATAGCCAGAGAGGCAGAGCTGCCAACTGGGGAAGAGGGATGAAACGTGCACGTCAGGAGTGCGGGTGCCTCTCGGCGGGATGTGCAGTATTGTTTCGGGAGCTCCCGAGGCTGTGCCAGCTGCTCCTGGGTCTGCTCGGAGATGCTGAGAGCTGGGGGGCACAGCCTGCCCGGGAGCCACCGCCCCTGCTCGCATACCCGCTTCTCTTCAGCCCTGTGTTGGGGCGTAGGGTAACTGCTCAGGCACGGGGACTTGCGAACAGAATTGCTTGAAGGCTGCGTCTTTCATGTCTCCAAAACCCATCACCGACTGTCTTTTTTACAGGGGAATTTATCAAAGCACTGTACGAATCAGATGAAAATTGTGAGGTGGATCCCAGTAAGTGTTCGTCCTCGGACCTTCCTGAACATCAGAGCAACCTGAAAATGTGCTGCGAGCTGGCCTTCTGCAAAATCATCAACTCCTACTGGTCGGTATCCCGCGAGTGTCGCTCCCCTCCGCACGTCCCCAGCTCACGCAGAGGCGGTACAGCTGCAGGGGACGAGGGTGGCAGCAGTCCGCCTTCGGGCTGTTGGTCCCTGTCCCTTAGCTGTGCTGACGGGCAGCTCTGGAGGGAGACCTGTCCGCATCCCGCAGTGCGGAAGGGGGTCCTGGTGGTCCAGGAGGAAGGGTGGGCATGGCCAGGAGGTGACACAGCTGCTGCCCCTCTGCTGGAGTTTGGAGTATCTGCTCTGGCAGTGCGACAGCCCCACTGATTCTCCGTCACGTTTGTTTGCGGTGGGTGCTGAGGGGTTCCTGGCACACAGACACGGGGAGAGGGCAGTGGAGTCAAGGAACACAAAATGCCTTTGCCGGTGCGACCGGTTCAGAGAGGGACCTGATGCCAGCTGTATATGAAAGTCTGGAATAAAGGGCGGAAGTGCGTGTCCTGGGTCTCCTGCCCGTGTAACGATTCAGTGTGGGTCAGACTGACGGACTCTGCCTGTCTCCCCAGAGCGTCAGGTGAAGTTTGGAAATCCTCTGTGCTGCAGGCAGGGTCTGTAGCACTCCTCCTGCCTTCGAGGCAGCCGCACCGGCACAGAGAGCTTTTGTTCAGGCGGATATTCTCTTGTTGCAGAGTGCTGGAGCCAGGGAGGAGGATGCTGTTACTCCTGGGTTGCTGTTTGGCTCAGCATCCTGCATTCCTCTGGGTTAACCCCTCTCTCTCCCAGCCCCGGGGTGCTGGCAGCGGCGGGGATGGGGAGCCCATTGCCTCCCTGGCCCCAGGCCTGGTATGCAGTTTGAGGCATTTCCTACTTGTTTGTTCTCAGGGTAAAGGTTCTCGCAACCAGTTGGGACAGGCCCGAATATGCAAAATCGATCAGAGTAAGGTAGTCGTGTCTTGTGGTGGAGGTGGCCGTCAAGCCTGGCCGTGCTCATGGTGTCACCTGCTGCGCAGCCCCGGGGACAGGCAGGCAGGAGCCCGTGGGTCTGTTACAGCTGCTGCCTGCAAAGATGACCTGAAAGGGGGAAAAAATGGGCCTGTGACTCTCTTTACGTAGGGAAATAAAAATATTTTATTTCTGCTTCTTGCTAACGTACCCAGAGACTCTTGTCCTGATCGCATGAGAGAACCATCATTTTTGTCTTCCTGCTGCATTTGCAGTCTTCCTGCTTAAAAGTCTGGGCTTAGTTTTTATTAATGTGTTTAGTAGCAACACTGTTGTTGCAAAACATCAACTAAGGGTAATATTGGAGGAAGGAAGTCAGGGATAATAAGGATTTCTGATTTTCCTTCCTGTCCCAGCTGTTGGGTTGAGGTCTGAAAACTCGTTATATGTAATCTCCCAGGATACCGAGTGCCCTGCTGCCAGCCCAGGAAGGGAATTGCCTTTCCTGATCCTGCTCAGGGAGAGGACGAGCGGGGAGAGGCTCGCTCAGCCTTCCTTTTTCTACCACAAATAAGCAAAGGGCAGATTTCTTTACAGGTATCCTATACCTTATCCTGAGCCAATTAATAACTCCCTGACTCAGGAATGGCGTTCACCTGCTCTCCCAGGAGGGATTCACTGCTTTTAGTCCCCAGTGGATTATAATTGTTTGAATGAACATCTTCCTAAATACACCAAAAGCAGCATTAAAAGGTCACTCTAAAAATAGGCTTGAAAAGTGACCTAAGGAAAGTGAGGAATGCACGGGCCGTTTGTTCCTCCAGCCCTGCCCTCCCAAGGAAGGCTGGAGCAGCTGAGCTGCTGCTCCGAGTGGTTCCCCCTCGGTCCTTTGTGCTCAGCGGTTCTTGGGGATTAATTGGGCTGATGAGGGTTCGGGATTGGCCAAGGTATCCTGACAGCTAACGATCTTGCTTTAAATAGAGTGCCAGAGTGTGCATACTCATCTGCTGGAGAGAGTCAGAGAGAGGAAAGAGGTTTACAATAACTGAAAATTGTTATAATTATGACATAATTTGGACATCTGGAAAGTTTCAGTGTAAGCAGAAATTCAGCATGTGGAAGCTCGTTACTGGAAAGTTGGGTAATGAATTACGGGCCCGTTTGTCACATAAAGCCGGCTAACTGAATTCCATCCGCTGTTACACAATTAAACTTTTATGGTCTCCCAGCCTGCGATAGCGAGCAGTGCTCACGGGCTGTATGCAGCCGGTGCGTACATTTTCAAGGGTTTACTTTCCAGTAACTGTACAACCTGTCCTGATCATTCAAGCCTTAAATTGCTTAAAGGATTCTCCTGTTTCTGGGCAAATACCATGAAGTAAAAGGGCTTTGTCCAATTGTGTGGATCAAGCCAAAGACAGAGGAGAGTTTACCCAGCCAAAGACGTTGGCTAATGTTGTTTATAAAGCACGGGGTGAAAGCTCATGAGTGTGACAGCATGAAGCCAGCACGGAGCAGAGGCTGAACGTGATGGCGGCATTTGCCGAGCGCGTCCAGGGAGTGTCACCGCCCATGTCAGAAGGTCGGAGAGAAGCCTGAAAACCTGGAGCGCAGTTACGTGGTCTTCCGAATGCAGCAGTGTGCGGCGGGGTGCCCGCGGGCTGGCGTTACCGGCAGCAGCACCAGACCCGGGCACGCGGCCGGGCAGCGCGCTCTGCAGCCGGCAGATGGGTGCACTGAGCGCCGAGGGCTCTGCCCGCT